TGGCCCATCTGTTCAACCAAGTCTCTTTGTTTATAGCTCTTATCAGTGTTTTTGCTGTCTGGAGGGTTGTCGCTGTAGGTGGTTGTTCTTGTGTTGCTCCTTTCTTTGCCAATCTGTCAGCTCTGTCATTACCTGGTGTGCCGGAGTGACCTGGAATCCACTGCATCACTATTCTGATGTTGTATGAGGTAATAAGATGATCGGCATCCAGGATTATCTTGGCTATGTCAGTTCTGCAGCGTTCATTGCCCTCCAGAGCTTGAAGGGCAGACATTGAATCTGTGAAGATGACAATATATTTGGACCTTTGAGGGGTAAACATCCATTACAGTCTTTAGGTGGTATACTGCTGTTTCCAGTGCAATTATTTCAGCTTCATAGTTTGAACAGAATTCCCCGCATGCATCAAAAATCTCTTCAACAGATCTATCGGGATAACCTATGTAGATTCCGTAACCTGCTTTAATGGTAGCTTTAAATGCTGATCCATCAGTATAGACATGTATCCATTCTTGGGGGTAAGAATCAACGGTCTTTAGTGATGAGTTTCATAAGAGCGATTGGGTCGGACTGTTTGGTTTCCTCGCCTACCAATTTAGTTTGGACTTCTGGAGCTTTAAAGCGAGCATGTGGTGGTAGGTTTTTTGCAACATTCTGAATTCCTTGACGTCTTTCTGGGAGGTGGTATCTGTCCTAAATTTCATTTACACAGTGTAAAACCGATTTGTGCTTTATTCTTTGTTTGGATTCCCAGTTTTCTACAAGATGTCTATTAGGATGGTTACGATTTTTCCTAACGCATCTTTCATAAATTTCTAAAGTGGCTTTTTTCTCTCCGCAACCCGAGGGGTTCCACATTTGTATGGATTTCACATGCAGCAGTTGGTGTAGACTGCATAGCTCCGCAGATTAATCGGAGGGCATTATTTTGTACTCTGTCAAGAGTCTCTAGGTTAGTTTTGGAACAAGTTGTAAGCAGTGAGTTGTTGTACTCTATCACAGAGCGAACATATCCTAGGTATAAGCCCCTCAGAGTTTCCTTGTCTGATCCCCATGATGTACCTGCAAGTCTCTTTAATAACTGTAACCGCCTCAATGCCTTATTCCTGATGTTTTCAATATGGTTCTTGAGGCTGAGCTGCGGGTCAAGTGTGACTCCAAGGTATGTGGGATGCTCTTCTTTCATCACTTGGTGTTTGTCTAACCTCAGGTTAATATTCTTCCTTGCTACTTGGTGGCTTTTGGTAAAGATTGTGTAGACCGTCTTTGCACAGTTAATCTTGAGTTTCCATCTTTGGCAGTAATCATGCAGTCTTCTAAGGTCTCCATTCAGTCTTTGGGCTCCACTTTCCACATTTTCATGACTCTGCCATATTGCTAGGTCATCAGCGTACAAGGCTTTTTCGGCCTTGATTTGTTCTGGCAGGTCATTGATAAAGATTAGGAATAGTGTACAGCTCAATGATGAGCCTTGTGGCAAGCCCTCCTCCAAGACTTCTTTAGAAGAGATTGCGTTGTGCATCTTAGTCTGGATTGTTCTATCTATCAGGAAGTATTTCACCCAGTTATACAATCTGCCATGTATTCCTATGCTCATCATCTTCATCAGGAGACCTTTTCTCCATACTCTGTCATAGGCCTGCTGGAGGTCGACAAAGACTGCCACTGTGTGTTTCTTATTCTAGAAGCCATCATGTATTCTTTGTGTCAGTCTGAACAGCTGGTCTTCTGTGCAGCTGTTGGTTCTGAAGCCTGCCTGTTCGTGGCATAGAACACCAGAACTCTCAAGGAACCAATATAAGCGCCTGTTTATCATTCTTTCTGCAACTTTGCCCAAGCATGATGTTAAGGATATCGGGCAGTAGCTTTTGGGGGTCATCTGGAGGCTTTTTGTTTTTAAGGATGGGGACGATATATGCATTCCTCCATGCCTTTGGAAGTTTGCTTGACCTCCAAGTTTTATTAATAAGCCTGAGAACTACTTCTCTCCCAGACCGGCCATGATGTAGCAGCATTTCGTTGTGGATCTTATCTGGGCCTGGGATTTTCTAGGTTTTAATTTCTTCAGTGCTTACTCTAATTCATCCATGCTAAATTCATTTTCAGAAAAGGAGTAGCTGGCTGTTGGAGCTCTCTCTTGTTTCTTCAACTGAGAGAGCTGTGTTCTATCGAGTTCTGACAGCTTACCTGCTCTGTTAACCGAGGCAAAATAATGATTGAAATGTTCTGCTTTCTTCTTGTCTTCAGTGATTGTCTTACTCCCATCTGTCACTGGTTTTGGGTTCACCCTTCTACTTTCTCCGGAGAGGTTTTTAACTAAAGTCCATGCTTTATTTCCATTCTGTCTAAGGTCTAAGTTGGAGCAAGTTTCTGTCCATTTATCTCTTTTAGCCTTATTAACTACAAGCTTTACTCTGGCACATGCTTTATTGTATTGGATCTTTGCTTCTGTTGAACGTGCAGTTTCGAGAAATATTCTTGCTTTATTCCTTTCAGATATAGTATTTTGAATTTCTTGATTCCAAAAAGGTTTATATGCCTTCCGGCTGCCCCTTGGGATGGCTTTCGACGCTGCATTCAGGATTGCTTAAAATGTTGTAGGGAAAAAGATATTTGAAGTTAATAGTATTTTATCTGCAGTGTTTAGGGTTTAATTTGTGGACAATTTGTCATATTTTTACTGTTATCTTGTCATATCTATGCTCTGGGCTCCTGGTATTTGTCTGACTAGTGCTGTAGGATAATAACGGTTTGTGTTCAATTTCCAATTTCACTCTGTGTGAAAGAATATAACTTCTAGTTATACAGAGGATGAAAGACATGTACCATCATTTGTGAAGTGGATAATTTGTCCCCTTGACCCACTCTGATGTTGATTGTCCTTTATTCTTTCCCTAATATATTATGGGCTGTCTAAAATTTAAAAACAAAATTAGGAGAGACACATGGTATCAAGCAGTGATGACAGAATATTTGTGGGTATCTGATGAACTGATGATACCTTCCCTTGGCTGTGTCTGAGCTCAAACTTCGTTAGTTGTAGGTGCAAAAGATGTGCAGGCTGAGCATTTCACAACAGGAGACAAGGCTACGAATACCAGCATTAGAGAGTAAATTGGAATAAGACCATGCTTGGATTATATTGACAGAAAGAAATAGTTCAAAGGTATCTAGTGAGAATGCAGCCATGTCAAGCTCCATATGAGAGTTTTACAGCAGAATATTTGAGAGGAAGAGTAAAAAATCTATAGATCAATGGTGTAGCTGAAAGATAAAAGATTTAAAAAACACATTGCCCAAGAAGTGCAAAATAAAATGCAGAAAAACTACAACACTGGGCTACTACTTGGTATCACTGAGACGACAAGAAGAAGATTATTTCACACCGTTAGAATACCTATACCCACAAGTACTTCACGCCTTTAGTCCCAGCAAACTTACATGTTGACTGGTTACGCGATATGCTTTAAAAAAACTTATTTCCTAAGTGGTAGTTCTTCTTTGTTCACTGACTAAGCTCCCGAGGAAATTTCTGGCTGTTCATCATCCATTTAAACTTTAGCTTTGTTTATAGGGCCTGAGTCCTGTGTGTATGTCTGTTTCACTAGCTTATTTGTGTTGGTTGTTTCTTGCCGCTTGAGCAGATGCGCTGCAAAGAAAGCCCCCACAATTAGACTCCTGCAGCAGGCATGTTGATAAAGGTGGTCTATTCTTGTTTTCCCCACATGAATAAGAAAGCAGCGACGATTGAGCAGTGATGAAAGCATTTTTATGGGTATCTGATACTGTTGATGATATCCTCCCTTGGCTGTGTCTGAGCTCTCAGCATATAGCATGTAACTCCTTTTCCCACCACGCACTGCTCATTAGAATAGCTCATCTCTCTTAGAATATACTGATGCAGAATATTCAAACAGCTTGTTTCCCTATGTTCTGATGTCATTATGGTAGCCCTACTATTCCCGGTGAATATTTTTGTTGTATGTAGTCTGTGCTGTTGAGATCGTAAGATGTTGAAAAGATATCTTAGACCTTAGTACGATCGCCTGTGTCAGCTTGCAAGAGATTTTGGTGGGTTGTCTTTACCCCTAACTGCAAAAATGTGGTTTGCCCAAATGTGTGTTATATATATGGGCTAGTTTATAACTACCAGCTGTTCTCAGGTGGATGATCATCATCCTCACCATCCACTCTTGTCATAATCCTTCTTTCTTATCTTTGCCTATCCTGTTTATGAGCATTTAAAAAAAAATAATCATTAGTATAAAACAGGTGCATGAAATTGAGCAGTGATGACAGTATTTTTTGGGTATCTGATAACTGATGATAACCTTCCCTTGGCTGTGTCTGAGCTCAAAATATTCTCTAACCTTTTGTAGCAGGCAGTGGTGGTAGGTGATTTGAGTTTGTAATTGTGGTCTTACAATGTGAAGCACACTTATAAACAGGACAAGCCTGCAAAGAGCTGGTGTGAATTGGCTGAAGGTCCGTGTTGCATATCAGAAGAAAATATCTCCTTGCACTTCACTTAGGCTTAATATATTTTTAAAAAGTGTACCAGTACAGTCAAGTCTGGATAAGTAGAATTCGCAGGTACCTAAGAAAATGCTTCCACATATCAGGATTTCTACTTATCCAGACAGCAAACACAATAGAGAAAATTGCCAGGACTAAGCTGGTCATGTCTAAAGTGGATGTGACTAATTGGTTTCTGACACCAAACAGATCATTACATCAATTTTTTTAAAAGCAACTCACCTCATTTTTTTTTAGTTAATGGTTACATTAATCTGCAGCTTATGAATGTTCAGCTTTTTTATGTTGGTATAATTTTAACTCCTTTACACCGAGAAATATATCTGTTAAAGTTCAACCGGAGTAGCTTTTGCTGTGGATAGAAATGTTTACTGCCTGTGTACTATAAGGTTATCCACTTGCATTACACTCAATGACTTTCTGCATGCCAGCTATACTAAAATACTAATGTCTCTGTTCTACAGCTACTCAGCTGTTCCGTTTGATGGACAAGTACAGACCTGAGTTAAGGAAACAAAAGGAGGCCAGGCTTCAGAGCCGTGCTGAAGACCGTGTCGCTGGCAAGGCAGACAAGCCCACAAAACGACCCCCAGTGGTGCGATCAGGAATCAACACAGTGACAGCTTTAGTGGAGTCAAAACGAGCACAGCTGGTTGCCATTGCTCACGATGTGGACCCTATTGAGGTTTGTATTTGTATAGTCGGTGACTTGATAAGACCTCCTCCTTCAACCTTTGAGGTTCATTTCTGTAACTTTTAGATGTTGAATTAAGAATCGACATAACAGCACTTGGAACACCCCTTAAGCGCCAGTTGAATTAATTGGTCTGCTTATTATTTAATCTCTCAGCTGGCTTCTTTGTGTCTGAAATCTCTTGCACCTGCCATTCTCCCCATATTCCTCAACTTTTGAAGTCCATTAGCCGAATAATAATTGGACTTCAAATTTAGTTTTTGTGTTTTTTATTCACCCTACTGTGCACACACATTTAGTTACATAGGGTAAAAATGTAAGTTAGAATATTAAAGCATAAAAGAATTTAGCAACACTCTTGATTTGAAAAAGTCATGATGACAATATTTTGTGGGTATGTGATGAATTGTTGAAGATATCTTCCCTTGGCTGTGTCTAAGCTGATGTGTACACCTATAAGATCCTTCTGTTGGCTGTCACACAGCTGCTGCTGGATCTGTGTATTATTTTTGTGAGGGCACTGTTGCATAATTTGTCTCCTGTGTGGGTTCCGGGACCCCATTTTGGGAAAAGAAGTAGACACACTACCCCCCTAAAAGGTATGCCAAAAATAACCACATTCTGGCGTATGACCCTTTGTAAGACAGAAGGTGCAGAAGTATTCAACCTATTGTGTATGTCAAGTCATGGATAGTTTCTCACCGTCGGAAAGGGTAAGCCGCAGTTAACTTCTTGTAATTTCCCCTAGTCTCTAGGCAGTGAGATTGGATATCTGTGTGTATTGTTGCACATGTTTAAAAAAAAATTCCCTTGGCAGTTGGAAATGGAAAAAGAGTAGCCTAACAGTGCTGCCTGTGTAAAATTTAGAAATAAATCTACCCAAAGTGTTTCAGGATCTTTGCCAGTACTATAGAGTTGCACTGCGGTGAGATTCTTCAAACTCAGGTTTGAGGTAGAATTATAAAGGAGCACTTTTGGATTACTACCATGATGTTGATCCATTTTACAGTCACGCTTAAACAATATTTCTTATCTGTCTGCAGCAGGCGTTCTTCAGTAATCCTGCTGCGGCATGAACCTATGACCTTTACTTTAGCTAATGAATATGTCTTTATGGGTAAGGAATGACAGCTTTTTGTAGGAACAAAAAGCATCCATTCTCCAACTTGGGGCGATGAGTACATGGTCATGTCCTCAATGCAGTAATGTCTTGGCTAACAAATTCTGACAAGGTCTGGATTTAGAATCAATCATTACTTCATGTCTATTTTGTTTGTGCCTGTCTCTGCAGATTGTCCTCTTCCTGCCAGCCCTGTGCCGTAAGATGGGCGTCCCATACTGCATCGTGAAGGGGAAAGCTCGGCTAGGACAGGTTGTTCACAGAAAGACTGCAACCTGCCTAGCATTTACACAAGTCAACCCGTAAGTTTACTGTTGTAAAATCTTGTTGCCACTCAAATATCAAATATTTTTCAATTTTTTTATTTTGATGTGGAAATCGGATGTGTTAAGCCGAAAGAAATAGAATAACAAAACCCAATGTCACCCCCGTCCCCTCCTCTTTTTGTAACGCATGGTGTGTGATAGCACACTCATATGTATTGCTTCCATGTTTATTTACATCTGGCTTCAACATACTAAAACATCTGGCCATTCCACTACATAATCATCTCTTTGAAAGTAATGCACTCATTGTTTTATGAGGACCATTTTCCTCCTAGAGCACCTAAACCTTCTTGTACTGAGAGAGTAATGGCTGGAGCACAGATGGCCTTGAAGCAAATTTTAGCTTTTATGTTTGTATTGTGTTTTGCACCTTTTCTCCAGATGTTTGTAACTTTTTGTTAAAAAATAAAGTTAACTAACCAACAAATTGCACATTCCAGGCGCCAGTTAAGATAAACACAGCAAACCAACAAACCACATTTTTATTCCAAACTACACCCCCCCCCCCCCCCATTAACCGACTAAAGCAAGCACATTCCATGTTCTAGGTTTATTAAAACAGATTTTTTGCAGCCAGTGTGCTGCTAGTACAGTCAGCATCTGCACCAGGGCTATTCAAGTTTTTTTCTTCTTCAAAATGATCACCACGAGCCATAGAACAGAATTATTATTAATACAACTGGTAATGATCTGCGGGCCACTTGCTATGCGTCTAAGTTGTTATACAATGGTAGTGGCCATTCATATTTAAAAGGGGGAAACATGGTTGTCGTTTGCTGCAGAGACAGGACATTTAAATCAGTTAAGGATGAAAAATTTGGCAAAGATGGCAGCGTAAACATTTATCGAAAAATGTGACAGAAAGAGTTGTTTATTCCTGGAAAAGTGTGTTAAATATGTTAGCTTAGTGTAGGTGTTCAGTTAAAGACTCATTCGTGACAGGTTCGACAAGTCAGCGGTTCAAGCAGAAATGCCCAAGATGAAAATAGGAGATATTTTAGAAAAAGGAAAATAGAGGCCAGCATAAGGTTAAGACCAGGGTAGGGACAATCGGTATATGTGGATGGGGCAACAAAGCAGAACAAATAAGAATTAATGGAGATTTTGCCCTGGTACTAGCTGCCACACTGAAACGGGTTTTTGACAGAGCTCATCAACAAATGTTAATCTCCCCGGACACCTCACTAAGGTACAAGAGTAGAACAACACTGGGCTGTTAAGTTGCTAGTGAGTGATGATGAAGACATTTTATGGGTATCTGATATTTGTTGATGATACACTTTCCCTTGGCTGTGTCTGAACTCATATATTTGTAATTGTTGTTAGTTGTGGTAGTCATGGCTTTTACTGCTTGTCCGTTTTACCAACTCACCAACCATCAATTCGTTTGTTACAGAGAGGACAAACCTGCTTTGAGCAAGCTGACTGAAGCTATCAAGACCAACTTCAATGACAGGAGTGATGAGGTACTGAAAGTGATTGTTTGTTTTGTTTCAAGTTGCATGCCCCACTTCCAGTTTGGGTCCAAGGCCTCGTGGTAGGGAAACAAGAATAGACTAACTGCCTCTCTAACAGACATGATGTAAAAGTTTACCAACTGGGGGCTTTCTTCAAAGTTAGAATGCATCTTCCTGAGAGGCAAGGAACCAACAATCGGCATACAGACAGATAAGTCATATATGTAAAACAGATATTCTGGATATGGACCAAAGTTCAAAGGGGACAAAACCAGAACATTTTGTCGAAGTCTACGCAAAGAAGACATGCGACGCACCTGACAGCATTAAAATAGAAAGCTGTCACCACTAGAGAATCTCATTTTTATGTTGTCTTTTATGTGTTCTTGACTGTTTCTTTGCTTGCCATTTTCAAGTGCCAGTCAGCACACAATGTATTTATCGTACATTTTTAACAGGTGCAAAGGTTACTGGGTGGGTTTATATGTATTGATTCTACTGTTTTGATTGAGGATGTATGCACCACCAGGAGATGAAAGGCAGACGAGTAATGGTGGTCAACAGCCATCTTAGGACTTGCCTATAATCATCATTTTATTTGTTACTAAACACTGTCTGTTCTTCTATTTTGTTTAAATCCTGTTTAATTCTTTCAAAATTGTGGATGGAATTCAGTTTGGCACCTCCAGTCTCTTTATTGCTGGTCGTCTCAGATAACCTGGTAGATGAAAAATTTGATTTTTTGACAAGTAAATCTTCAGTACCTTGCACATATAGTTATTTTAGAAAACTCTTTCCAGATGTTAGCATTGTTTGTTTCTTCTTTTTCTCACAAGACAGGCTGAGAGTAAATCCAGGTCAACATATAACATAGCAATGAATGTTATTCTTCCTTACGTTCATAAACTCTGACGGAAAGTTCTGGTTGTTTATCCACCTCTGGACTTTATTAGACTTGTCCCTGAGTGTTGCATACACATCTGTTTTACAAATTGATTTGTATGCAGACTGTTGTTTCCTTGCATCAGGCAGATGCAGTCCGACTTCGAGGAAAAAATGTTAACTGCTGGCTATGAAGAGTTTATAATTACTATCCGAAACCTGAGAAATGTTAATTGAGCTTTTTAACCATGAGCAAGTTAACTATTCTAATAATCTTTACACACATACACATGCCTCTGCTGACATATTTTGTTCAGTTACATCTCTTTTTTTGTATGCACAATTTTGTGACCGTCTAGGTTGTGAACTGATTTATTTTCCACGTTCTCTTGCAGATCCGCAGACATTGGGGCGGTGGTCAGATGGGCTCCAAGTCACAGGCGCGTATAGCCAAGCTGGAAAAAGCCAAGGCAAAAGAGGTTGCGCAGAGGGTTGGATAGACTGTTTCATATTAGTAGAAATCTTTTGTTGGCTTCAGTGAATAAAATTAATGAACAACTGTTGTCTTGTTTTTGTGTATTGATTCTGGCATGGTTGAAACTGTTTGGATCAACTTGTCATGTGCTGTTTGGTTGTTTTCATAAACCTAGAACATGGAGTTAAAAAAAACCACAATACAAACATCTGAACAAAAAAGTTTGAAAACAATTCAAGAAAATCTGGACAAAAGTTACAAGCCACAATACAAACATCTAAACAAAAAAAAGGTTTAAAAACAATTTAAAAAAAAATCTGGACAAAAGTTACAAGCCACAATGCAAACAAAATCTGAACAAAAGTTCATACCCTTGATCCATTAGGGTCGTGGAGGTGTATTAAAGGTAGCACTAGCACATAAAACCCACCATCTTTCTCTGTCTTCCGCTTGATGAATAAGAGAATGATAACTTAGTCCTGTCCATTTCTTGATGTCATTCCAGGTTCTTCTTTGCTCTCCTCTTCTCCGACTACACCCCCCTCCCCCCACACGTTCCTTGAAAAAGTCTTTGCAATCGAATCATGTCTCACCACATACCCAAAGCAAGCTAGCTTGCGACATTTCACCACTGCCAAGAGAGGCTCTTGTGACCCGCCAATTTGTATATTTTTTGTGATACAGGTCATTACGACTATTTACAACCTTCTGTCTTGTGTACTGCCAATCATTTAAGATAATGATTTTCTGCCAATCATTTAGCTAAACTGTCTAATGTCCTCTCTTTTGTTTTGTTTCCTGTCATCCCTCTGGTCACAACCTACTCATTTTCTTACCTCCTTTTCAGACATTACAATAATGCATTTATTCAGGAACAAACAGGATAAGAAACACCTCATTAATTAAACTGTTGCCAAACATGTCTTTTCTACTGGCAACTTATATATAAAATATAACCTTAACTGGCATTGAGGTTCTCAAATATTAATTTTACCTGACATTATTGACATAATTTTGAAAAGAGAATCACATAGTAAAATCTGAAAGAAGAAAATGTATGGAAAGAAGAAAACATTTCAAAGGCATCAATTCTTTTTTCAAACTACTTGCTGTATATAAGACAATAAGTCCATATTTGAGTTGAGTCAAGAATTGACATCACAACACTCCGGTTATTCCCATGTGTACTCTGTCCTCATCTTCAGCAGCCAGCGCAGAGTTTCAATACTGATGGTACTGGTCACAATCTGGTTATATGTCTGGCTTGCCTTTCCTCTTGAGTGTAGTGAGCCGGCCAGACTCTCTGGTTACACCCAGGTGCCTCATTCTCTCCAGGCCATAATAATCTTGTTTCTCTTCTGACTTTGTTACTTGTTCCCAAGTAACTCTGACAATATCTTCCTTGTCATGCATCAATTCACCCCTACCAAAGATCTACAAGTCAGTGCCAGCTCATGAAACATCCCATCCCAGTGGTGATGCCTTTTTTTTAGACCTATCAGAGAGAACTTGGCAGTGGTTATAAAACAACAACCACAATACAAACAAAATCTGGACAAAAGTTACAAGCCACAATACAAACATCTAGAAAAAAAAGTTACAAACCACAAAACAAACATTAAACATTTTTTATTTCTGAAGTTTATTCTGCTCTCAGGTCCTAGTGCCTCACTTTTACAATATCAAGTGTCGAAAAAAGTATATGACACAACACTCTCTACCTCTTTACAACCATGTACAGTATGAAGTTATTGTGTTAACTACTGGTATGTGTACATGACCAACATAATCCTGACAGAAAAATTCTTCTACTTGGAATAGCACAGAATCTTTTGTTTTAATTGATACACGTACATCCAAGAACCCTCTTTTAAGGCTTCAGGCATATAGGGCTAGACCTATGTTTTATAGACTAATCACCACTTGATGTTAGCACCACGCCAGCTGCCCTGACTCCACCTGGCACCCATTTAAGGCTGGGTTGACTTGGGAGCCAAGGTCATTTTTAAACCTGTCAGGACATGAACCCACAACCATGGCATATATTTAAGTACATATACTTCTGTAACACCAATGAGTACATAAAATCGTCTATCCTAATTAAAATACAGAACAATCTTTCTTTTGCAGAATACAGTACATAGAATCTTCTGTGCCTAAATGATTTTGCTGGGAGTTTTCCACTGCAGCTAATGAACATTTTATGTAATTTCCAAGGAATAAAGGGATGACTCATCAGGTCTGCAGTTATGGTTGAACCTCGACTAATCACCATCTTCATGTTCACTAAATGTAAACTCTGGTGGGAAGTTCTGAGTGTGCGCCCATTTGTGGACTTTAGTCCTGTTCTACAACCTGAGTGTCGTTTGCACATTTTACAGACCTGACTCATTTGTATGCCGACTGTTGGTTCCTTGCCTCTCAGGCAGACGCACTTCTGTTTCAAAGGAAGTAGTAATTAGTTGACTCTTACGACATGCTTTTGGGTAGGCATTGAGTCAATTCTTGTTGAACCCACATGTGGAAGTAGGCCAGGAACCCCTTCCTTGACTCATGATGTAACCACCTCAAATAAAGTATACAGAACCTTCAGCTGTAGCATAACTACTGTTGTAACTATATGGAATCTTCTGTGTCTGCACAAAGGTTTATTTGGAGAAGGTATCATTTGTTGGTTTAATAATTAGTTTACAAGAAAGGGCAGAAATTTAGCTCCATTAACAAATTGCACAATAATTGACTAGTGTACCCAAGTCATCAAACAATTGCACAATAATTGACTAGCATACCCAAGTCCATCGAACAATTGCATAATAATTGACTAGCATGCCCAAGTCCAATGAACAATTGCATAATAATTAACTAGAGTACCCAAAGTAGGCTAACTATAGAAACAATATAGGCAATAAACAATGATGATGAGCAACTTCTGGTGTTGCCAGGGGCCCTCGTAATTCCATGGTACCTTGTAAATGTTTTCAAAACATCATCACACTAATATATATATTTGACAGTAAATACAGGTTATACTGATTCAATTAACAGGTAGATTCACTCATAAATTCATATGTGAAATGACGAGTTAAGAATATAAGACCATGGATATGAGTTTGATGATGATAACAGACAGAATCTCTGTTATGTCTTTGACATAGCCCCCCCCCCCCCCCCCCCCTTTCCTCTCCCCACACACACACACACACATATAACGTGTTTGTGGGTGGGGACAAACAAGAATATACCCAGTGTCTCCCCCAAAAAAACATGTCACAAGAGTCGACTAATTGGGGAGACTTCCTGCGAAATCTGAGTGCTTTCGCCTGAAAGTTGAGCGAACAAACTGCACACAAGTAAGCAGGTAAAGCAGATGTAAAACGGTGGCGCGGTGATTTATGTCACAGGCGTGAGGGGAAGTTAAGTCCAACATGATGTGTATAAGGAGATACTCTGTACGTCACTCGGGCGCCAGTCCTTCACTATCCTGGTTGTACGGAACCTCACGCAAGACCCCTACAGCATGTCCTCGTCGTGCGCCACGGATAATGTATCAAATGAGCATTAACAGAGCTGTCAGGGGATCTCGGAGTTTGGCGGCCCCCAGAGGTGATGTGTCCTTGTGGCTCTCATCAGCCCGCCCCCAAACGCTTGGGTGAAAAATGTTATCAAAACTCATTAGGAACATGAGTAGGGTTGACAAACATACAGCTAAAATTACAACCCTTGGTTAAAAGACTGCTGAGTAAAGAGATCATTGCTCACTGCACATCCTCTGTTAATTCTCAGTGTCGTCGTCACCGCGCTGAGGTACAACTACAACAACAACCATCCATAGGCTGGCCATTCACGTACATCCTCGGTTAACCCTCAGTGTCGTCGTCACCGAGCTGGGGTACACCACAACAGCAACCATCCATCAGATGGCTAAGCCTAAATGTCCGACAAAACTAGACCATACGGATCAAAATCTGACCATCAAAATGTGCACTGAACTGAAAAAGACCGAATATTCACACCCAAAGACCCCACTCGCCCGAGTGTTGGGACAAAACTGATAACGATACGCCTGATTCAGGATGTGAAATTCTGTCAGGCTAATGTACCTATCTGTGTGGTCACAAAAGTCCAAAACCCACGGGCTGCTCCCCGCTGACTTCCAGAGGGCGCAGCCCCTGTCGAGTGGGAGGCCTGATACGGTTGTGAGGTTAAGCAGGCATGTGCAGGACGTGACGATTCCTTGGGTGAGCCCAGAATCAGAGCAATATGTGCCGGCTCTGCATGCATGGAAGCCTCCTTGGATGGCGGGGAATGCCCATGATCTGCCCCTGCCTTCCCTTGAGGGCCAACTGTTCCACAGGGGGCTGCCCTAAAGGAATACTCTGGGGGCAATACCTGCGGCGAAGGAGACAAAATGGACACCACACAAATTAGGCAACGTCTCGACCCACACAAAACAATGGCCACAGTCACCCTAGAAATAGGCCTGACGTCTTCCTTCGAAGTCGGCGTACAGCTGCCCAAGAGGCAAGGAAATGAAAAACGGTTGTACACGCAAAAATCAGGTCCAGGTGAAAGCCAAAAGTCCAAGCAGACGATTAACCGGGACCTTCCACTGGAATTCACAGCCGGTGTTCGATAATAATAATAAAGATGTAAAACGCAAAATTCTTGCTGTAGCACAAATCCAAAAGTCCAACTGAATGAACAACGAAAACTTTCCGTTGGATCTTACTGCCTGTAAACAAGGATGAAGAAATTTATTTGTCTTTTTCTGGTATCAAAATGTTGGCTTTTGTTTTTTCTGTATGAATTCTCGAAATATTCTAAGAATATCTGAGGAGAAATACTGACATCTTGAAAGATCTGAACATCAAGAAAGATTAGTTAATAAATAGCATCCTGTCTCAGAAGCTGAAATATTTTAGTAATATCAAGCGCCATAACGGAAAGGAAAAAATTATAGCAGAAGGCATGGTACCAGGAAGGAAGGGCAGGGTCAGACCAACACGAAGATGGGCACAGGATATG